CCAAACAGGTCAGCTGAGCTGATGGAAGTGCTTCCAGACATGCTCTCCAGCCTCGTCTTTGCATCATACTGAGAAAAAGATGAAACAAAGGTCAACCATGAGGTAATAACAGAACATAGTTTAACAAACACATTAAACAGATGACAGGTGAAATGCGAGATTTGAACTGTTTTATAGTGAAATGAAGACGAGAAGGTTCTCACCTCAGCACTACTCTCCCGACCAAAGAACATGTCTGAGGAGATGGCCTTCGCATTGGCAAACTTCTGCCTGGCCTCACTTGACTCGGAAACTGAAGCTGAGACCTCGGCTTTTCTTCTGCTGGGGAGTCTGAGTTTAAGCATTGAGAACGTGCGTCAGAGCTGAGAGCTTTAGACAGAAGCTAAAAGACATGTATGAATATGTGTGTACCGCTCTCCAGTTGGTTGAATACTAGAGATGGTGACCTCCTCCTTGGGGTCATCTTTCTCCAGTGCCCAGGAGGTGGTGAAAGAGGCGGTTCCTCCTTCAGTATCCCAACGGGATCCAAAACTGTCTCCCACTGTAAACGGGTTGTCTTTGTATCTAAGATCCAAAGCACAGTGGGTTATTAAGGGAGTGCACTCAGTTCTCTCTTCTATTCTGTGGTAGATAATGAATCCATGATACATAAGTGGGTTCTGTGCGTACTTTGGAGGTCCAGAGGTGAAACCGGGCTCATCAAACATTTCCAGTTTGGAGCGAGAAGAGGACTTTGCTCCCACGGGCGTTTCCTGCTCGATGACCTGCATCTCTGACATCACTGAATGTGACACGGCACTGCAACGGGAAATAAATGCTCACATTTACAGACCTAACAAACAATTGGCATTCCTCTATTCTGCGTTAGCTTCCTGTGTTATGAGCAAAAACTATTATCAAGGTTCAAATTCAATTCAAGCACTTTCAAGGTCCATTTTCAAGCTTTTCCAGCACATTACCGAACAAAAGGCTGCCTTATATGCATATACTGTATAATCTTAAACACACATTTCACTTAAAAATTAAGAAGTGCAAATATGAACTAATCAACTTGTTAGAGATATTCATCTCCTGCTGAAAACAAGCCCCAAAAAACAAGAAAACTGCATCAAACATCCCAAAATAATCCACATTAAGGCCAAATTAAGTCTCAGGCCACATAGTTGTTTCAAATAACGTTCAGAGTTTTCACATAACAAGCAGCGAGGATTTTGTCCCT